TTTTTTGCTATGAAATTTTTTGAAATGGGGGTGCGTGGGTTGGGAAATATTTGGTTTGGGGTGCAGGAGCTAAGGCAAGACAACCCTGGTATACCTGACGAATTACCCAACACAATAGAGGGGATACTTAACCTAAATACTTCATAGTTCACAGGGCACCTTCCTAGCGAGTCGCAGCTATTTGATTAATCTGGGAGATCATGTCTGATAAGATTATGATTTTACAAACAGCGGTATAAGCGTCAACAATGAATGAAGCCTCAGTAACGTGGCTGGAGAAATTAAATAACCCATTCTTAAGAGAAGAAAATTTTGAGCTAGTTGCTTCGACCCGTCCTAGACTTATCAAGATGTGAATTTAAAATAGTCTTGGGCGGACCGAAACGTATTCTAAAGTTTCCTCTCCCACGATGGATATAAGCACATCAGTGCTAGACAGTGGTGATAACTCAGGAATTATTATAATTATGGGGGAGCGCTAAACCCGTAGGATTATACAGTGCATGCGGGGGGGGGGGGATGGAAGGTATTCAGGTTCAATTCAGGCTCAATTCAGGGAAGTGGAGCACAGATCCAATTCCCTAGATCAAGAGCCCCTCACCAGCGTCAAGGAACCTCCCTCGAGGGGAAATCATGAACTAACCTACGAGAATCAAGTGAAAATTAATTTCTATTAGGTAACTTATACCTCAGTATTAGAACGTTAAAGTCACAATAAACTACATACTACCCAGGTTCATTTCTGGGCGGCGAAATAAAGAAGGAAACAAGTCTACCACCACCTGCCCCTTTCATCTAGCAGTATATAGCTAGAAACTTGTCGACTGCTGTAGATGCATACTAGGAAAGGACATGAGAACCCCAATGGAAATAAGCCATACATTATTTTTTTTTCCAAAGTGTTTTTGCAACATTTGTAAATATATAATAAACAGTAAAACTATATACAATAATGCAAAATATATAGCTGAAAATATAGGTTAACCGTTATTTCTGTAGGCTATACAACAGATTTTGTTCGGTTAAGACGGAGGATTAGTAATCCAGGATAACCCAAGAAAGCTACTAGTTATATTTATATTGGGGTCCTTTGATTATCTTTCCCAGGATGCGACCCACAACAGTCGGCCAATACAGGAAAGCACATCAGGACAGCTCAATAAAGACGTGGTAAAGAGGAAATTCTTACTGTAGATGATTGTCCCTCCGGGTAGAGATATCTCATGTTTACCAGAACTTTTCTACAGTGCACACCGACAGGGCCTGTCACCTTACACCAGATGGATTATAATCATAACCATGCGCTACACCCGTATGGGTTATACAGCACTGCTACACCAGGTGGAGACTCCAGTTTCTATACGGGGGGGGGGGGGCTTAGGGGTTACTATCTGGTTAGATGTGGCAGGGGGAGGGTTTCTATGAGACTTGTTTTGAAGCAGCGTTATCATCAATTTTTATTTGGGAGTTTTAGATTTTTTTCAAAAAAGTGGGGTAGGGGGTGAAGCCTTTCCCTAGGAGCCACCACTGCCCAACACGTCGACAGTACCTGTCACCCTGCACGTCGTGGATGACTGATATAGTGTTCACTTGTGATTCGTCACGTCCACACCTGATCAGCTACTATTTTTACTAACTCCTCCAGAGAGGTGTCTTGACTCTTGATGCCTCCTGTAACCTAGCCATCGCCTGCCGCCGCCCCCCCCCCCTCTCTCTCTCTCTCTCTCTCTCTCTCTCTTTCCTCCCCCTCTGTTTTCACAGGGGTTTGACAAGGTTAGGTTAAGGATCCCTAGCTTTATTGACAAGCTATTTACAAGTTAAGGATTCCTAACTTTGACAAGCTAAGAGCTGTTACCTACATCAGTTCATTTGAAAGCATTTTTATTGTTATGAAACATACAAGCAGGGAACAGGATGAAGTTGGAGCCATCTGTGGGCCAGTACCAACAATACCACCAGTCCGATGACATTTCTTTGCAAATATACAGGGTCTAAAGCCAGCAACAAACAACAAAATACCTTTCATCTGTGGACTGCTTGCAGAGGCAAAGGCAATGTTCGCGGCTTTCACTGAGACCCACATAAAGGATCACTTGGACAACGAAATATGGATCCCAAGTTACAACCTATACAGATGTGACAGAGTGAACAGGCAAAAGGGAGGGGGGGGGGTTGGTGCCTGTACATTGCAGAGTCACTTGTTTGCACAGAACTTCTAAATGCCTCAAATGATGTTTACCTGGAGTTTACCTGGAGAGAGTTTCGGGGGTCAACGCCCCCGCGGCCCGGTCTGTGACCAGGCCTCCTGGTGGATCAGCCCCTGATCAACCAGGCTGTTGCTGCTGGCTGCACGCAAACCAACGTACGAGCCACAGCCCGGCTGATCAGGAACCGACTTTAGGGCTTTCCAGTGCCAGCTTGAAGACTGCAAGGGGTCTGTTGGTAATCCCCCTTATGTGTGCTGGGAGGCAGTTGAACAGTCTCGGGCCCCTAACACTTATTGTATGGTCTCTTAACGTGCTAGTGACACCCCTGCTTTTCATTGGAAAGTGGAAGTGGAAGTTTTAGCAGTAAAGGTCGAGAACCAAAACCTAGTCATTGTGGTAGTCTACAAGCCTCCGGATGCAACATCCCAGCAATTCCAGGAACAGCTGTTAAAAATTGACCACTGTCTGGAAAATCTTCCAGCTCCTGCACCCAACATCTTGCTCCTGGGGGATTTCAACTTAAGGCACCTAAAATGGAGGAATATAGCAAATAATATTGTTGCAGTAATAACACCAGGAGGCAGCTCTGATGAAAACTCACACTCACACGAGCTTTTAAATCTCTGCACAAAATTCAATTTAAACCAGCAAATAATAGAGCCTACTAGACTGGAGAATACACTAGACCTCATCTTCACTAACAATGATGATCTGATAAGAAATGTCACCATATCAAAAACAATATACTCAGATCACAACATAATTGAGGTTCAGACATGTATGCGTGGAGCCCCAGACAGACATAATGAAACTAGTCACGAGGGAGCATTCACCAAATTCAACTTCAATAACAAAAACATAAAGTGGGACCAAGTAAACCAAGTCCTAACCGATATAAGCTGGGAAGATATACTAAACAACACAGACCCCAACGTATGCCTAGAACAGATTAACTTGGTGGTACTCGATGTATGCACAAGGCTTATTCCTCTAAGAAAAAGGAGGAGTAGATGTAAAATAGAAAGAGACAGGCGCTCCCTTTACAGGCGATGGAAAAGAATAACAGAGCGGCTAAAAGAGGTCAATATTTCTGAAATGCGTAGGGAGACACTGGTCAGAGAAATAGCAAGCATTGAACTCAAGCTAAAGGAATCTTATAGGAGTCAGGAATCGCGGGAAGAACTAAAAGCCATAAATGAAATCGAAAGAAACCCAAAAGTATTTCTTCTCCTATGCCAAATCAAAGTCGAGAACAACATCCAGTATTGGGCCCCTACTTAAACAAGATGGGTCCTACACAGATGACAGCAAGGAAATGAGTGAGTTACTCAAGTCCCAATATGACTCAGTTTTTAGCAAGCCGCTAACCAGACTGAGAGTCGAAGATCAAAATGAATTTTTTATGAGAGAGCCACAAAATTTGGTTAACACAAGCCTATCCGATGTTATCCTGACGCCAAATGACTTCGAACAGGCGATAAATGACATGCCCATGCACTCTGCCCCAGGGCCAGACTCATGGAACTCCGTGTTCATCAAGAACTGCAAAAGCCCCTATCACGAGCCTTCTCCATCCTATGGAGAGGGAGCATGGACACGGGGGGTCGTCCCACAGTTACTAAAAACAACAGACATAGCCCCACTCCACAAAGGGGGCAGTAAAGCAACAGCAAAGAACTACAGACCGATAGCACTAACATCCCATATCATAAAAATCTTTGAAAGGGTCCTAAGAAGCAAGATCACCACCCATCTAGAAACCCATCAGTTAAACAACCCAGGGCAACATGGGTTTAGAACAGGTCGCTCCTGTCTGTCTCAACTATTGGATCACTACGACAAGGTCCTAAATGCACTAGAAGATAAAAAGAATGCTGATGTAATATATACAGACTTTGCAAAAGTCTTCGACAAGTGTGACTATGGCGTAATAGCGCACAAAATGCGTGCTAAAGGAATAACAGGAAAAGTCGGTCGATGGATCTATAATTTCCTAACAGAACACAGAGAGTAGTCGTCAACAGAGTAAAGTCCGAGGCAGCTACGGTGAAAAGCTCTGTTCCACAAGGCACAGTACTCGCTCCCATCTTGTTCCTCATCCTCATATCCGACATAGACAAGGATGTCAGCCACAGCACCGTGTTTTCCTTTGCAGATGACACCCGAATCTGCATGACAGTGTCTTCCATTGCAGACACTGCAAGGCTCCAGGCGGACATCAACCGAATCTTTCAGTGGGCTGCAGAAAACAATATGAAGTTCAACGATGAGAAATTTCAATTACTCAGATATGGTAAACACGAGGAAATTAAATCTTCATCAGAGTACAAAACAAATTCTGGCCACAAAATAGAGCGAAACACCAACGTCAAAGACCTGGGAGTGATCATGTCGGAGGATCTCACCTTCAAGGACCATAACATTGTATCAATCGCATCTGCTAGAAAAATGACAGGATGGATAATGAGAACCTTCAAAACTAGGGAGGCCAAGCCCATGATGACACTCTTCAGGTCACTTGTTCTATCTAGGCTGGAATATTGCTGCACACTAACAGCACCTTTCAAGGCAGTGAAATTGCTGACCTAGAAAATGTACAGAGAACCTTCATGGCGCGCATACGGAGATAAAACACCTCAATTACTGGGGCCCCCCTTTTTTAGCCAAACCTCCTGTGCGGCTTTTTTTTTTCCCCCTCCCATTGTGGCCCTTTTTTCCCTTTCCCCATATCCTCAGGTTAAACAATTCCCTTATATTTAATGCCTCTTATACCTTTGCCATTCTTTTTTTTAGGTAAAAAGCCCTCTCAAAAAGCCAAGCCGGGGCTGATATAGGTTTTGTTACCCCCGGGCGGGGATTTTTTCTTGTTGTTTTTAAAAGTGTTCCCATGAAGGTTTCCGGGGTGTAAACTTTGGGAGAAGATATACCAATGGGGTGCCCGGGCAAATTTTTGGAAACCCTCCCCTAAGGTTTGGCATGTAAAATCCTCATTTCTCTTGGGATCTAAGTTGTAAAAAGGGGGCCTTTTGGGCAGACCCATCCCAACATGGTAAAGGGTTTGCCAATCACCACTTTTTGGGTCAAGAAGAGCCAAAATGGAGAGGAAACCCAAAACCGTAAGGCCGATGAAACCCATACCCCAAGGGCGGGGATAAACCCGCGAAAAGCCCCTTAAACCCAGACCGTGCGTTGCCACGGGGCCTAAATTGAGTTTATTTCTGCTGCCCCTGGTAACCCAAACCGGTCTGGAGTTTTAACTCTGATGCGGGTTTCCATTCCTGCCCTGGAAAGTTTTTAAAGGAAAAAAACTTTTCCTGAAAACACTGAAGGGGTTTTGCCCTCTGAAAAGATGGGGGTCCTAACAATGTATGTGAATTTGTTGGAGAGGGTCCCTTTTTATTAAAAATTGATGGGTTCTGCGTCTGCCCCTGAGGCCACTTGGACATCAAGTCGGTCTTTTGTTTCAATAAAAGCTTTTTTAAATATAGGGATGGCAACCCTTGGGGGAGTAACACTTTTTAGAGAACACCCAAAACCAAACCTCCGCCCTTGGCCTTCCTTCCCCAAGAGGTGGTAGCAAAATTTGCAAAATTTCATTTTGCCCAAAAATTTTTGGGAGAAGTTAAAAAAACGTTGGATCCCAACAAGGGTTAAACTCTAAGGGGCCCGGGTTGGGTGTTGGGCTCATTTTTCCTTGGGTTTTGGGGTTTGTAAGGCTGAAAGGTCCGCCCCTTGAAGAGGGGGGGCCCGAGGGGGGGTGCGAGATGTGGTGGTGTCTTGTATCCCGGCAAAACCACCGGGGGGGATAGGAATAGCTATTGACGTCGGTTGCCACCAATTGGAGTCCTTTGTTTCGGGGCAGTTAACAAGTGGTTGTCTGCCGTTCCTTTTCCCCCTATGGTTTATGCCTTTCCCTTTTGGCAAAGCACCGGTTTCCCCAGGCAGTTGTTTGGGGGGCCCCCCTTTTTGACAGGGGGAGCAGGGGTCCATTTTTTTAAAATAGGGGGGCTCCCCGAGGTTAACACCCAGGGGGGGTTTTAGGCATTATTTAAATTGGGGAAGGGGGATCACAGTTCCAATTCCTAAAACGAGCCCCCACCCTCGCCCTTTTTTTTGGGGAGGGGGGTAGGTGGGGGGGGTTTTGGGGGTCCCCCATTTTTTTTCTCCCCAAAATTTAAATTATGTTCCAGGAGGTAATATACTTATGGGGGAAGAAGGGGGTAAATTGCCTCCCTTAAATTTAAAAAAAAATTGTAATAAGGTTTTTTCTTAAAAATACCCAAACCACAAGTCGAGAAAAAAATTTTCTATGGCAAAATTAATCAATTTTTAAAAAGCAAAAATTTTTAAATCCTTTTTTAAAAACGGTCTCGAATTTTTTTCTTTTGTACCCTCCCTTTTCCTAAACTTTTTAGATCCCCTTCTTTTAACCCCAGCATAAAATAAAAGAGCAAAAACCCCATAAACCCATGAAGGAACACCTAAGCAGGACTGAGCACAAAAATTAAAACAAGTTAACGGATAGGAACCCTTTTAGGTGGTGTAAAGTACATGAACTTTTTTCCATTACATACCCACGGGAAAAATTCTTAGAATAAAAGGGTTGTTTAAACACTTTTTTCAATTTTTTAAATAAGGTTAAATAAAAACTCCCGCCTCTTTTACCTCAGGACCAAAAAAATTTCTTATGCAGGAAAGGAATATTTAAAAAATGCAAAAATCTTTTAAATAAAATGTTTATTTTCCCCCTTTTTCTTGGGTTTTACCCCCCTAAACTGTCCTATGGGTAAAATAAAAAACACTTCATTCCACATGCTTAAGAAATAAACCTGAAAAAACCCCCAAGGAAACCCCATAGGCCACCAAAACAAACAGGATTTGAAAAACCCCCCAAAAAAAGGAGAGGAAAGGGGTGCGGGACAGGGAAGCGAACAAATCCCAGAAAAAAAATTCCCAGTCGAACACCAACACTCCACCCAAAGATACAAGTTATTTTTTAAAAAGGGATGAACCCACGCCTTTTTTGGCCAAGTTTAAAATTAATGAAGGGACAAAAAATTTAAGATAAACAAAATTAATTATTAAAAGAAAAACCCAAACCGTGGTTATACAGCGCCCTTTGGGGGTAAATTAAAAAATTTGATTCTCATTTTGAAAAGCTATAAACTTAAACAAACTAGAAAAAAATTGAAACCTTTCCCTTTTAAAAAGGGGAAATTTGAAAATTCATACCCCAAGGGGGCCTTTGCCCAAGTTTCCCCAAAACCCCACCCCCCTTACAGACAAATACTTCAAATTTCCCAACAAATAAAACCCCTACAGGTTTAGCCTTGCCCATTAATGCAAACAAAATGAAAAAATTTTAAAATAAAAATCTTATAAATTCAAGAATATTAGTATAATTTTTGGGAAAAAAGTAAAAAAGGGTATTTCGTTAATTGGGTTAAACATCCCCAAGTTTTTAATTTAAAAACGAATTTTTCAATGAAGATTTGTTTTAATACAATTGTTTACCAAAAGTTATTACCCCTTATTAACGGGTTTTTCTAATTTTTGCCCAAAAAACCCAAAAAATTAAACCTAACCATTTTATAAAACCAATTTAAAGCCAATCCAAAAAATAATTTTTAAAATTTTTAAAAATAATTTTTAAAAAAAAATAATGAAAATTTTTTTTTGGTTAATCAGAATGATTTTTTTAAATTTTGCAAAAAAAATTTTCGTTGCCTTATTGGCCAAGATTTGCTTTTAAAAAAACGTTTTAATTTTTGTCCCAAAACCCCCCAAAACTTATAAATTTTAAAAATTTTTAAAATTATAATAAATAAATAAAATTTTAATAATTTAAAAAAAATTTAATAAATAAATAAATTATATATTTTTTTAATAAATTTAATATTAAAATTATTTATAAAAATGTTTTTTAAAATAAAAAATAAAATTTTAAAAATTATTATAAAAAAAAAAAATAAAATTTAAAAATAAATATTATATATATATTATATAAATATATATTATATTATATATTTATATAAAAAATTTATTTTATATTATATAAAAATTATATGGTTATAGACACAACCCCCCAGGGAGGAAACTACCCCCCTGCCAAGTGAGTGTAAAAACGAAAGCTTAAATTTTGTTTTACATAGGTAGGGTTGTGGGCCCTTTTTTTTTTCTGTTTATGAACAGCAAGATTTCGGTACTTCTTGCTACTTCATTCCTTTAGGCAACAACCATACTTTACAACGTTATAACATCCCCCTTTTGGGGTTTTCTATTTTTTTCTTTCTTTTTTATTTCACTTATCTCCTGGGTTTACCGGGAGGTTTCCGGGGGGTCAACGCCCCCCGGCCCGGCTGGACCGGGCCTCCTGGGGGGATCAGAGCCTGATCAACCAGGCTTTGCTGCGGCTCCGCAAACCCAAAACCCGTACGAGCACACCCGGCTGGTAGGAACCGACTTTAGGTGCTTGTCCAGTGCTGTTTGAAGCCCCGGGTCTTTTTGGTAATCCCCCTTATGTATGCGGGGAGGCGCTGAACAGTCTGGGGGCCCCTGACACTTATTGTATGGTCTTTAACGTGCTAGTGACCCCTTGCTTTTCTTTGGGGGGGATGGTGCATCGTCTCCCAAAGTTTTTTTGCTTTCGAGTAGTGTTTTTCCCTTTGGCAAGTTCGTATGCCCCCTCAGGATTTTCAAGGTGATAAAATCATTATCTCTCCCCCCCCCGCGTTCCAGGGAATAAGGTTTGGGAACCTCAAGCGCCCCAGAAATTTGAGGTTTTTTTACTCCGTTATGCGGCCGTGAAGGTTCTCTGACTTTTCTAGGCAGCTTTTTCACCTGTTGAAAGGTGCTGTTAGTGGCACAATATTCCACCCTAATGAACAGTGCCCCTGAAGAGTGTCCAGGGCTTGGCCTCCCTGTTTTAAAGGGTTTCATTATCCACCCTGTCATTTTTCTGAGAGCGATTGTACAATTTTTAGGTCCTTAAAGGGTGAGATCCTCCGCATGATCACTCCCCAGGTCTTTGACGTTGGTGTTTCGCTCTTTTTGTGGCCAAATTTTTTTGTTATCTGAAAGTTTTTAATTTCCTCTGTTTACCAATCGAGTAATTGAAATTTTTCATCGTTGAACTTTATATTGTTTCTGCACCCCTGAAAGATTTTTTTGATGTCCGCCTGGGCCCTTTCAGTGTCTGCAATGGAAACATGTCATGCGATTTTGGGTGTCACTGCAAAGGAAAACACGGTGTGTGGGTGACATCCTTGTCTATGTCGGATATGAGGGGAGGAACAAGAGGGAGCAGTATGTGCCTTTTGGAACAGAGCTTTTTACCGAGCTGCCCCCGGACTTTTCTCTGTTGACGACTACTCTCGGGGTTTTGTTATGAGGAAATTTTAGATCCATCGACCGACTTTTCCTGTTATTCCTTTAGAAAAGCATTTTTTGGGGCTATTATGCCAGATCCACTTGTCGAAGGGGTTTTGCAAAGTCTTTTATATTAAAATTTCATTCTTTTTTTCTTCTATGCTTTAGGACCTTTTTCTAGGTCCCAAAAGTTGAGACAGGGCAGGAGAGACCCTTTTTAACCCTTTCCCCGGGGGTTTTGGGAACTGAGGGTTTCTAGATGGTGGTGATCTTTTTCTTGGGGGCCCTTTCAAAAAATTTTTTTAATTTGGGGGGGTTTTGTGCTATTGGGCGAAATTTTTTTGTTTGCTTTTCTGCCCCCTTTTGTGGAGGGGGGCTAGTCTGTTTTTTTTTAGTAAAGTGGGACGATCCCCGATCCCGCTCCCTCTCCCCTGGGTGGAAAAAGGGTCGTGATAGGGGGTTTTTT